GTCGCCAGCAAGCACGACAGTAACCAGTCACGCTCAGTAAGCGTTCAGTCGTCACTGGCCGTGCACAGCAGCACGCCAGCGACCGTTGATGCGGAAGTGGTTGTCGAGGCCGAAGAGTGGTCGAGGGTGATCGATGGTCGAACGGGCGAACACTAGTAGAAAAAACAGTTTTTATAACGGGTAAAAAAGACTTTTTATAACGGTTTTGAACTCGTTATAGTTTCAGACGTTATAGAAAGTACGAACTTTCTATAACGGTTGTGACCCGTTATAAATTGACTGCCATTTATAACGGGTAACATATACCCGTTATAAATATTTCATTTACATGTTATATACTACACTATTTTATAACAGTTCCTCATTCAGCCGTTATAAAATATATTATATTTATAACGGACTTTCATTTACCCGTTATAAAAAAATTGTTTTTATAACGATTAAATAATGACCCGTTATAATTTTGAACTGACATTATAATTTTAAATCGTAGATAACACCTGTTATAAAAAGGGTGCAACATTCTATTTTTTTAAAAAACAAAACTACCATATCAACAACCAAATAGCAAAAGAAAATATTTACCATTACTTCAATGCCAACACACCAACAGTATAGATCAACTTCACAAACACAACAATACCAAGTGACAAATAGTTTTACACCACATGTTCAACAAACTACGAAGCATGTCTAACAAAAGTCTAATCTTATCCTACTTCACTAATGAAGTTATATCGAGAAAATACTAAGTACAACGTCTCCTTACATCATTAATATCATCACTCGAGAAGGGTTCGTCCAAAATAAACACCTGAAATTTGAAAAAATAATTATAACATATGACCAAGATAGAACAAATATTTACTTGAAAATATACTAGTGCTTGATATTTACAAATTATTTTTGTTCACAATTACCTTATCAAAGTTGTTAGTAACGTCAAGTGTTACGATTTCCATCATATATCTCATAACGAAATACCCGCATTCAACACCTCCCGATTGTTGGCGACACTTGAAAAATATAAAAAAAAATCGTATAAAATTAATAACTTACGAAAATAAGATAAATGTAATCACTAAATTTCCAGTAACAAAATGAAATTACAAGTTACAAAATAACATTGTTTAAAAAATAAATTTACCTTTGGATAGACCAATTCGGGTTTCTGTTTGTAGGGATGATTTTCCTTCATTAGCTGATATGTGGTAAATGCCCTAACATAATAATGTAAAATAGAGAGTTTAGTTTCAAAATAAATTCTAAAAATTATATCAAAATCATGTAAAATAAATCATACGTCGTGATTTTCTGAACTATGTCATTCTTAAGCTTTTTTTACAAGGAACGGAAGCAAACAATCATATTATGTTTAGGGTAAAGAACAATCAACTGCCAATGATCCCTAACATTTCAAAAAGAAGAAAATATAGTTGTGTTGTTAGTTTATAGTTATTTGTAAGCATTCAAAATCTCCCTTTGCCAGTCTTTCTTCAATGTAGTTCGTTGCATAATCTTTACTGTTACCTTTGCTTTGGAGTGAGAGCGGGCACATCAATCCATATTTATTTTCTCTGCCAGATTCTTCCAAATTATTGTGCAAATACCTGTAAATAACAATAACAAAAACAACAACGACAACAACAACACTAACAACAACAACGACAACAACAACAATAACAACGAAAATAAGTATATCTTGTTTCATAAAATAAACCAATCAGGTAAGTAGATTAGCTATATCAATTATCTTACACAACAACCAGACATTTTATAGTAATTTCTATTCATTGTTTGACCATCTTGCATTATAGGTCTTCCAGGAACCCTAAGCAAAAATAAAATAAAATAAAAAGAACCATAGGAAATAGGAAGATTGGCATGGGCAAACACTACTAACGTTAGAATCCACCACCACATAAGAAGTAGATTCATGCCCGCAACAATAAAGCAGTAAAGAGAAAATGAATGCTCTTGCATGGGTAAGATCAGATCTTGATGACCTAGCAGACCGCCTGGATGCAATCAACAGTATCCGACCATAAATGAGCCTTGTGCACAAAAACTATGAACATAACACTCAGGACAAACCCAATCACTGTCATCACCAAATTTATCCGGGAAAATTTCATTTTCTCTCACAGAAAGTCAATTTCTAAACTCAAATTTCTTTTCTTTTTTTTTTCTTTCTTTTTTTTGAAGTTTTTGTATGCTTTACTATCCCCCTTTCTATGTTTCAGAGTCCAAAAAAGGTAAAATCAATTAATTATTAAATCCTGTTGTTGGCATAACTAATAACAACTAAAGGAGAGAAGAAATAAAGAAAGCAAAAGGAAAAGAAAAAACAACCCTCCAAAGTTAGTGAATCAGAACATCAAACAGCTCAATCTACTGGCTGCCGAAGCAAACACCACTAGACGCAACAAACAATGAGAGTTCAGGAAAAGAAATTGTCAGAAGATAGCAACATCTTGCACATGTTCACAGTCTTACTCATTAGTTTAAGCACAAAGATGGTGAAGAGGAATTCTTCATTAATTTTCTTTTCTTTTTTACTTATTTAACACACAACATCAAAACTCAAATGCAAGATGTTCACATGCAAATGTTCCAAAAAGTTGCATTCATCAACAGCAACATATACTTGGGAAAATAATATACTCATATGTTATAGGAAATTGAGGGTTATAATTATTTCAATGTCACAAGGGCAAAGATAATCTATTTGTACAACCAGTATTCTCCACATTGCACTATAAATGTTACAACATTATATTATGTTGAAAATATTTGAAAACAAATGTTAGGGGTACAAATTCTTTTTTTTTTCAGTGTCATGTACTTTTTTGTTCAATTCTTATCTTGTATGCAAAATATAAAAGAATCTATACATTAGCACATAATTTTTAAGGGACTCATGGTTTTTGAATATTATTGAACTACCAGATAACCAGAATAAATACACAACTCCTGATATCATGACATCAAAATAAATTGAAAAAATCCTTTATGGTCGCATATGAAATTGCTAATTGTAATTGTCCGTGTATGATTTTGCAAATAAATCAATGCATATTTATTTCAGTACCATAGAACTCATTGAAAAGTTAACTCACAATACATAAGCTAATGAGTTAAGGAAAACGATGTACACAGAGATTGCAGATCCACTGGTGTGGTACGAACGACGACAGGGGCTTGGTATGAACGGCGACGGACGAGTGTGAATAGGGCTTGGAACGGCCAACACCGGATGGCGAGGGTTAGTGCAGCGACAGACGGCGAGGGCTCAGTGCAGCGACGAACGACGGCGGGGGCTTGGTATGAACGGCGACGGGCGAGTTCGAATAGGGCTTGGACTATGCAATTTTGGGCGGTTTCGAGGGGTTGTGTGATTTTGGTCGAGAGTCTGTGATTTTGGCGAGATACAGGGAGAGGTATTTTGTTGGGCGCGAGAGACAGATAGACACACGGATTTGATAAATCCGAAAATTTTATAACAATTGTTTAAATAACCGTTGTAGATAATTGAGAATGTGAAATATTTTATAACAGTTGTTTAAATAATCGTTATAGATAATTGAAAATTTGAAAACTTTATAATGGGTTTCATAGACACCCGATATAAATATGTTTTTATAACGGGTTTAACAAAACCGTTATAAAAACCCTGTTATAAAAAATATTTTTTCTACTAGTGGAAAGGCGCGCATCGGGCGGTGATGCGCGGGAGCGGGTAGCCAGCACGCGGTCAGCAATGGGTGCACGTGGGTGCACGGTAGGCGAGCAGGCCACGGGCGAAGGAAGGTACCCGCAGGCAGCGAGCGGCGGGCGAGCTGGGCGCGCGATGGCGCGCGAGTGGGTGACAGGCACGAGCGCAGGCCTATGCGCGGAAGGAATAGGAGGGGCTGGAAGCGACGCGCGCGACACGGTTCGCGCATGGATATCGGGGACGAGGGCAGCGTGCGTGGGGCGCAAGCGCGTGCGATTCCGCACACGACAAGGAGTAGCTGGGGCGGTGGAAGCCGCGTGCGAGACGCGCGCGCGCGAAGCCGCGCGCGACAAGGATTAAGCAACGCGGAAGGCGGTGCGCGAGAGAGGCGGCCGAAATTACTTGGGGCGTGTGAGTTGGGATTGTTTGGAGTGCAAGCCAAGCAAGATCAAGATCTAGTCAATTTAGGACTCTAGTATATTTAGTTTCCTTCTTGCACAATAGTATCTAGAATGTTTAGG